ACTTCAATAAAAGCCTCCACACAGATTTTCTTTTTCACTCTGCAGCAGCTGACAGCAGAGTAATGAGAGTTTTAGCTCTTTCAAGGGGAGACGGATGCGAGAGGAGGTGGAAAGATAAGACAGTGAGACATCTTGGAGACTTATTCTCTTTCTTTATCACCATTTTACTCCTTTATGAGCTTTAGCAACTCAATTGTATTTACCTTTTTGAACTGAATTGAATTGAACTGTCGAGGTGGCGAGGCTACAGAGATTTAAAAAAGCCAATGAAAGTGGGAGAAAGAGGGAAGATGGAGTGGAGGTGACAATAAGAATGGAAAAATGGAAGGAAGAGGAGAGGAATGGATGGAGGTCGTGGTTTTTGGGTTCAGTTTGGCAGTGAGTCGCTGGGACAGTCAGCATTTATGTGTGCAGGGCAGCATATCTAATGCATTAGTCTTCATGATATCATGTTAGTGTTCATAAGTCATGCACGTGAATTCAGCATGGACAATATACTTAGATTACTATGAGTGTCTCATTACACCATATACTTTCTACTTTGATGAAAAAAGAAACAATTTCTAAAGACAAAATATGTTTTTTTTTTTGCTAAATTGAAAAGTTTTATAAATTGTGGTAAAAGAGAAAATGAAATGAAAAAAAGATGAAATAGTTTATGAATAATAGCAGGGCTGTTTTTCCTGAAAAGTCAAAACACTAAAATTAGTAGAAAAAGAGTGAAAAGAAAATCTCCCGTCCAAAAATATAGATAAGTAGCCTTTCTACTTATTTTGTGAGATAAATAATGTCATATTTGTGAAAATAAAGACTCAAAAATGGCAGCTTTTAAATAACAAGTGATGATAAAATGAATAAATTGAACCAATAAAATATTGTGAAGTGACAAAAAGCCCCAAACTATTGATTTATGCTAAACTAAAGAGATAAAATAAGGCAAAATGTATATTTTATTACAAATAAATGAGTGAAAATCCCCCCAAGTTTTTTCTACATTCTTAATATTAAAAAAACCAAAAGCCCCAACATATTAATAATCCTAATTCCCGTTATTTCCACCTGGTCATGCTGACTTTAATCAACACAAACTTTGACAAACAAAAAAAAAAAAGATAATAAAATTCTCCCTTTGATGCAGAGAGAAAAATAGAAACCAAATAAAAGAATAAAATCCTTATTTTTTCACCATCTGTCAGTATTTTCCCCTTCAGGCAGAGATTCAGTCACCTTCCCTGCCATGAGGACCCCTCTGGAGAGCTTGGTAAATCTAAAGATTTACTAAGCGTAGTGAAGATTGAGTCCTGAGGAGGAGGAGGAGGAGGAGGAGGAGGAATATCGCTTCAGGGTTTCTGCTGCTCTGCAAGTAGCGGAGTTCAGGACCTCCAGCAGGACTTTGTTCAAATTATTCTTTGGAATAACAAACATTTTCAGTTAGGCTTTATCCAGAAAATGAATAAATCAGTTTGGATTTGTCTTCTTCCACTCAGGCGGTGAACCTTTCAGCGTTCAAACTTCCCAGAGGGAAAAAGCCCAGAGGACATTGGACTTTTCCCACCCTCTGATTCTTCATTCCAACCTCTTCTCTTCTTCGTGAGCTTTCAGCTCAGACAGAAAAGCTTCAACCACGAGGAGGCCCATTACAGCAGAATATGAGCAGGTCGCCTGAGGGGGTGTGGGTGGGTGGGGGGGTGGGGGGGGGGGGGGGGGCCCGCTACGAGACAGAAACAAGAGATCCACATCACTGCTTTCTGCTGTGGATGGAAATTGGTCTTAAGAGTCCTAATTTACATTAAAGTCTCATGAGGCGGAAGTAAAAGCTGCAAAAATTCAATTTTCACCTAAAATAAACCTGATGTCCTATTTCAGAACTATCACATCTATTTCCTCTCATTGGAGACAAATGTCACCAAGACTAAACATCACTCCTCTGGCTCAGAACGTAAAAAAAAAACATCTGAAGGAATATTCTAGCAATCTAGTAAATATGCACACAATTTACCCCCCCCCCCCCCCCAAAAAAAAAAAAAACACAGAAGAAAAACACAGAAAATGAGATTTTTTCATGCATCATCTGAGGTGCATCATCAAGTTTAGACTAAGAAATGTGGGATGAGGTTGCCTTGGCTTTGGGATCAGACAAGCGCTGCTGAATCTGCAGGAAGTGGAATTCTATCCTGAGACTTGCACCAACCCTGGGCCTGGAGGGCCAGTATCCAGCATGTTTTTGTTGTTTCCCTGCTCCAACACTCCTGATTTGAATCATTAGTGATTAACGGGGCAACGGTGGTTCAGGGGATAAGAGTTTGCCCTTTAAATGGTGCGTTGCAGGTTTTGCCTGTGGTCATTTATTATAACGGGCTTTTGCAGAGCATGATGAGCTGCTGTATCAGCTGCGTTGGAGCAAAGAAACAACTAAAACATTCTGGATAGCAGAACTCCAGAACCAGGGTTGGAGAGCCTGACCCAGAATGACTGTGATTGGATAAAAGAAAGTAAAACAAGCACATTGCAACTTTTAAAGAGGGACTGCACACCATCAAAAAATGTAACTCCACCCCTAGTCAAGATTAGAAAAATGCTATGAAAGTGGGCGTTGCCAGAAGGCGCGGGGTGGCATGGCCTAGTGTGGGGAATTTCCATCCCGGGAGGGAGGGGGAGTGGGAGGAGACTGTACCGATGACGTGAAATTGTACCAGCCCCAGTCAATCACAAGTTTAAAAGGCTGTAGCCACAGTACAACCCACAGGGGGCAGCACTAAGACGTTTTAGACCTAGATTCTAGATTTAATCAAATTTACACAAACGTGTCGAAAATGCACAGAAACAGAAATACTGCATTTGTAAAGACCCAATTATACAGTTTATAAGCAAATAAAAGTTATTTTGGGGTTTAGTAACTCTTTAGAGTGTCTATCCTTCATGCTTTAGAGCAGCGTTTCTCAACCCAGGTCCTCAGCTCATCTCTGTCCTGCATGTTTTAGGTGTTTCCTGGCTGCCACACACGTGACTTAAACAAATGAGTGATTAACAGGCTTTTGCAGCACTTGATTTCATGCAGAATAGGCAATGCAAATATGTAAATCAGGTGTGCTGAGGCAGATGTTAAAAACATGCAGGACAAACAGTATGAGTCCTGACAGGTTCTGTTTGTGGTTTTCATGATGGTCCCAAAGGAATTTGCCCACATAGATGTTAGTGGGGCCTAAGTGGATTTTCAGGGGCACCCAGATAGACCCGTTAAAATGTTGGAGGGCAAACCCCCTTTCCGTCAAGGAAAATGCAGACAAAACCTGTTGGGACCCATACTGCTTGGGCGAAAATATTCCACATGGGAAACGCCTAAAACCACACCTCCCCAAAAACCATTGTACTAAAGGCTAACATGATTATAATGTCACATTAAAATGAAAATGTTGACACAGTTGGGATAAACTAGGTTACCTGTTTCAGCCACAGCTGTGCTAACTCACAGCATTTTAGGGCAATGCAAATACACCAAACGACCATGTGGTGATGGTGCTAACCAATGGGATGTCAGAACGGTAGATGCTTAAAACTGCTTTCTAACCACAACGAAATTCACTCTACAAGGTTGGAGTTTTCATTAACGTGACACGCTTTAATGAAATAGGAAAATCTTCTAAGTGAGGCAACAAAGTATTTGTACTTCATTACCTGACACCTTTGATATTGGAGGAATAAAACAACTAAAATAAGCAGGATGGTGGCCTTGTTTTAGGATAAGATGGCCTGATCATCCCATGATTTATGTGCATCCTCACATGATACTTTTTGAATACCAAAAGTTTGGGATTAATAGAATTTGTGACACCAGACTCACCTGTAGATGTACTTTCTGACGAGTCCGTTTTTGCATCAAAGTGACGACACACTGTTGCAGCTGTGCGGAGCATGTTGTATTTGTGTTGGTCATTTGTTTCTCCGTTCATTCAGAGCTGATCTTTTGACTGCAGCCTTCAGCTGACACCCAAAAATACCAGTTACTTAGCAACAGGCAGGCTGGCAGGACAGCGGAGAGCCACTGGAAGCCGGCTCGTCTAATTTCTGCAGTCAAACCGATTCAACGCAGCTTTGTTCGCTCTGTACTCCTTCCTCCAACTCTCCCGGGCCTCCTCCTGCACCTCCTCCACATCCACCTCCACACATTAAAAATAACACTGAGTCTTCTCTGTGAGCTCCACAAAACAGTTTGAATAAGTTCTCAAAGTCTCTTTTCAAAGGAAAAAAATTGAAATAAAAAGATGGAATTCTCCCGTGAGAGACAGCAACCCTAACATGGTGCCCAACAGGCAGTTGATGAAATCCCCTCTCACCTTTCACGCTCCAACATTCACTTCATGTTCTCGCTGCATCACTGCTGAATCCTGCAGTGCTGCTGTCGAAGATCTGCAGAGCGGAGGGACTTCTACAACCTTTAGAAGATCTGAGCAGAAACCACCGCAGCAGAATGCTGGTCAATACAGGGGCGTGTCCAGATCTTTTAAAATGGGGTGGCCCAGGTGAGGCACAACTTTGTGCATGGGTGGCACCAATGGTTATGCCTTTTTTGTTTTACCCCCAAGCCTTTTGTGGACAATGAAAAGCCTATTTAAAGGTAAATTAGTGTGTTAGCACCTGGGGTGGCCAATCAGATTCCAAGGGTGGCATGTGCTACTCCAGGCCACTCCTTGGACACGCCCCTGGGTCAATACATTTTCTATTAACTGACACCTCATGTGTTGCACTAATCATGTTATTTAATCCAAATTTAACCAATTGATGCTGAAGCATTTTTTTTGTGAACAACAATTTATAAAGAAATGTTGACATGTTGTCCACCGAAAGAGAGTTTAAAAGTTTAGTTATTTTTGTCAGTAAATGTTCTTTTTTCGATGCATTCTGGTGGTTTTTGCTCAGACAAAACTCGTCTGTTGGGCTCACTGGGACGACAATCAGGCTCAAAGCAGTAAGAACACAAAATGCACGTTTCCTTTTTGTTGTTCTGTCATTTTGGTGAGTGGTTTCATCACTCAAGTTCAAGTAAAGTAAAGTTTTAGAGCCAGAAATAAAAGTTCACAACTTTATTTAGACTTCAGTCAGCTCATTTTATAGTAAAAAGACTCATTTACCACCAGTTTTTACTATTTTGTGATGCAAAAGTCTTTTATAGTTGTGAAGCTAAAAGTGCACATGCATTAGCTTTTGCATATATTTGCAGTTATCTATTGAAAGGGTTTATTTTTGTTGCAGGTCAGGCACTTTATTAACTTTATAAAATGCTAAAAATTAAAAAAATAAGTAAAAACAATTTATTTTAAATGATTAAAATAAGAAAAATATTCTGGTTCAAATACTTTTTTTGCAGATTAAATGAAAACTTCATAGATTGAAAGCCTTAAGTAGAAATAAGTGGCTCTGGTTTACTTGTGGAATAATTAGCAGTGAGAAAATGTGCATTTGTGTTTCTGCTCTTCTACCTCAGCATGATCGTCGCCTCAGTTTAACCAGTCATTTGTCAGGGTTGCTGCCTCTCAGGCTGCCTGTCAGGAAATCCGGTAATCAAAGGTGTCCTTCTCCATGTAGTCCGTCCAGGTGGAGGACGGCATGCTGCGGTACGGGTCCAAAAGGATCCGGAAGCAGCGGACGATCAGCAGGCCCAAGAAAATGAAGAGGATGAGGACGAAGACGAAAGCCGCCCTTTGTTCAAGTGTGAGGAACGATGCAGAAGATGAAGATGAGGAGGAGAAGTCAGACTCAGAAGCTGAGAAAGTGCTGCTGTAGAGGTCATTGGCCATGTTGAGGGGATGAAAAAGACTGGTTGGTTCAGTTTGTGACCATCTTCGCCTCTCCATAAGATAACTTGTCCATCACAGAGAGATCAGAGAGAAGGTGTCTACAAAAGAGAACAGAACATGCATCAAAACCTCAAACTTTAATAGCTGAAGAAGCAAAATTTCAAATTTGCATTAAAAACCACACCTAGTTGATTTATATAATTAACCAGTAAAACAAAATCAAAACAATAACAAATAAATGAAGGCTTACATGGAAAAACTGATTTTCCAAGAATAAAAACAAAAACCTTTTTTAGACAATTTAATTTATTTTTTAGTCAAAGAAGAAAAAAATAACTGCAAAAACAGCACTAAGGTAAACCTTCTTAAAGACCAAGTTCACTCACTTGCCTCTGGTATAAACAAGTGACTTGTGAGTCAATATCTGTGGGGAAATAAACTTCGGGAATTCTGAGGAGTAGACGGCTGATCACGGGAGATTTTGGAGTCTTATTTCCTGATATGTGGACTTCTCGCCTCTGATTGGCTAACAGCTACTCAACTCTACCACTGACTGTTGCAAAGTTGATGTTTTATCTCCACAAACAAGACAAGCCTGGAAGAGTTCTGCCGTGTGGTGGAGTTGCTAATGCTATTGTTAGCTTCAACTAGCTGAGACGTACAGTACTCTGCTGTTTCCTGGACGCTAAAACAACAACATCTTTCCCATCACGAGTCAAGATGGGTGAAGTCATGGATGTTAATTTTCAATGTGATGTAGATCTGAGCGGGCTTTCCTGACCTGAGCGTTTACTTATCTATTTTCTATCAGAAGCTAATGTATAAGATAGGTGTAGAGGACTATTTTCATGTTCAGTTTGCATGCTACCTCAGAGCGACTGATCAGATTTTACAAACTAAATGGTTCCTCAGTGAACATGGCCGTCAAAAATTATCACATTTTTCTATTGAGTAAAGAAATTTGACGATGGGGTAAGCAAAAGTTATTTGGCAAATTTCTCTGGAAACTAACAAAATAATCAAAATGTTAGAATTTAATTTTTAGTTTTAAGGATTCTAGCCAAGCAACTTTTGAACAGATTTTTTTTAACTCATCACAAAAATTTCATCGTATTTTTCTTGTTCTTGTTCTTGTTCTTCTTCTTATTATTATTCTTGTTCTTGTTCTTCTTCTTCTTGTTCTTCTTCTTGTTCTTGTTCTTCTTCTTGTTCTTCTTGTTCTTCTTCTTGTTCTTCTTCTTGTTCTTGTTCTTCTTCTTGTTCTTGTTCTTCTTTTTCTTGTTCTTCCTCTTCTTGTTCCTGTTCTTGTTCTTCTTCTTGTTCTTGTTGTTGTTCTTCTTCTTCTTCTTCTTCTTCACTTTAGTGCTGCTTTTGCAGATAAGATTTTGTTTTCATCTTTAGAGCAAAAATAGGATAACACAATGCTTTATTTACTTTTTGAAAATCCGTTTTTGCAGTGTAAATTAAACAAAGTCAACAAAAACATGAATTCATTGATCTTCCATCCCTTCAGTGAGCTTGGGTTCTCCAAAGGAAGATCACTAGGAAGAACCCTAGAGCCACCTCAGCCGACTCCTTTGGATGCGGAGGAGCAGCGGCTTCACAGGGAGCTGCCGGATGATGGAGCTCCTCACCTTATCTCCACCCTAAAAGGGAGGCTCATTTCAGTGGCTTTACCTTGTCCTTCAGGTTATGATCCAGATCTTATAACCAAATTCAATTCAAAGATACTTTATTAATCCCAGGGGGAAATCAGAGTTTCAGTACACACAATTCTGAGATCAGACATACATACAAAGGCATAGACACATGACAAGAACCACAAGTAAAATAACAAAAACTGAGCCAATTTTTTAAATTAAAATAAAAAACAAATAAACCAACTGACTTTGATAGAGCTATTAAAATGTTAAAATCCTTAATCACAATTAGAGTTCTCCAGATGAACATATTGTTTTACTGTGTGCACAGAAATGATAAAATGTAAGAAACAAAACTACAGCCCATTTACATGTAAATAGATTTTTCTTTTTGTTTCAGTGAGCAGTCAGAGAAGCAACCAAATGCAGGACTAAACAGGCAGCAGAGAATACTAATGAACTTCATGTCACAAAAACAAAACTGAAGGCGCTGCCAAAGTCCAGAGGTGGGTGAGAGCAGATTCTGACAGCTGCAGGAAAAAAAGGACAAAGGTTGAAATCTTGAGGAGTATATATGGGGGTTGGGGGTGAGGGGGTGGAGGTGGGGGTGGGGGGTTGATTGGCTGCAAAAATACGATAACCAGGGAAGAAATTAGACAATAGAGAAAATAAACACAAGGAGAAATGAGAGACTGGAACAAAATGAGAAAACAGAACCGAATAATGCTCTTTATAATTAGATTTATTACTATTGTTCTTTTCCGTGTCCTGTCCAGCTGTAAAGCAATCAGAACTAATGTCTGAGTGCCGAAGACAAGAATTACAGCTTTACTCAAACACGGAGCGCCATAGCTTTAATGCTCTTTATGAAATCAAATCAACTGAAACATCACCAAAACCCTCAGAACACAATAACTGTTGGATGGTCAAACATTTATGGAAATGAACAAAAATAGATTTTCCCTGCTGTATTATTTGGTTTACGGTATATGCAAACTATATTTTTATTTAGTTTGTATTTAGTTCTCTGTTGGTTGACAGACATACAGCTCATGTAATAGTTATTGATTTGGTTGTTTATGCACTTTGGCTAAACATATGTTTTAAAGGGGATTTATAATCACTTTTTATGTTATAACAGTTCTATTGTTGATACAAAACATGGTCATGAAGTTTTTTCGCATCAAATCCCTCTCACATAAATCCATTTCAGCAGTTTTATTCTTGACATTTTAAATACCTGCCAGAATGAGCCGTTTCAGGGCTCGATCACTTTAAGAAAGCACCTGGAGCTGGCCACGCCCACCCCTCTCATAATTGGCTGCTATGAGATGAGAAGCTCAGATATCCAGGAGGGGCTCAGAGCATGTGAGAGGTGGTTTTATTTTAATTTCCTCATTTGGGACATCACAAATGGGGACTTTTTGACACAGGTTGTCTTAGGAACATAATTCCTAAAATGTTTAACAGACAGAAAACATATTTTTTCTATGTATGGAGTGAATAAGGAGGCAGTAGAGACCAACAGGGAAGCACAAAGGATGCAAAAAGTGAGTTTTGCAAAAACTGCCTCATTTAATTGTATTATAGAAGATGGCTTGACTAATATCTGGATCGTTTTTGAGATAGAATGACAGTTTTTCCTTATAAACCAAGCCATTCTTCAAACTTCTCTATTTTCCCCTCTCACCGTTGTTCTCCTGCCAGCGAACCATGGGAGGGACCGTGGGTGTCGTTTGTTTTAAAACACGTCTTTCTGGGAAGAAGCTCTTATTTTTCTGCCCACATGTAGATTACAGCCAAATTCAACTGGCTTCAAATTTTGCCATCTTTTCACAGTTTTCTCAGTCTAACACCTAAACGTGAGGAACTAATTGTACACTACTGAAATGAAACCCCTCCTTTGCACTTGGAGATGGATAAAAAATCAGTTTTCAGGATCAGCGCTCTGAAGCTACAGCTTTTATCTGGCTAAAAGGAAGAAAGACGTGAGCACAGAAAAACAACAAATGGATTGTCTGGATTTTGTGTTCTGATTCACCAGCGGACCAAAATAGCTGCTGTCTGTTGTCCCACATGTCCAAACGGTCGACCATCCAGGTTTTCTGAGCTCTGCGAATTAATGTTGCATATCCACAAGGTTTTGTACCAGTCAGACTACAAATTAAACGTGTTTTAAGTTGGTTTTTTCCTCTCTGGGACTTCTTTGATATAAAATCCCGTAATATATGTCTTTCCATGCACCACGTAAGGCTGAGCCTGATTAGTTTGAACAAGACGAGCGCAGAACGTCTATGAAGGATTTGCTGAGTCTGTACATTCAAACGTCTCTTCTCCCACCCTCGTTAATATTTCACTGCCCGCCTTCCTCGCCTCCCCTCATTTCATTCCGCTCACCTTCGGTTTCTTATCTTAGTCAAGAAAAAAACAGTCAAAGCTAGCTCGCATGTGTCAGTGTGACCTAGAGAGAAATAATCCTTTAAAACTGATGTTTATCGCATCATGTGGTTGTTGTTTACACTTTTGTGCTGAGTCCACATACAGAGGCTAAAACACATATGCACACACACACACACACTTATGCATTTTCGCACGCACACACACATGAAGCAGGCTTCCTTCTAATGCAGGATCAAGTCCAGAGACCCTCCAGGCTGCAGCTGCTGCCTCTGAAAAACGCGTGAAAGCTAAAAAAAAAGGAATTAGATTAGATGGAACGAATCACGCTGACCTCAGAAGTGTCACTCCACCATGAAGACTCATCACACTCAACTGACCAAAGTCTTTGAAGAACCATCAGCATAAAAAAGTTCTAAGAGAAGTTCTGACCTGGCTGAGGTCAAAGCCTCAATGCAGCTTTGCTTTTCTTCTCCAATCTGTTTCAAAAGATCAACCATGTAACAATGACAAGCCGGTTGTGTAAATACAATAGTGACCCCAAGGGGTGACCAGGGGTGGCCAAGGACCCTCCTGGAAAATTGCTCGAAAAGGCTCTTATTTTAATGAATGTTATTCATGTTCACATGAACTATACATTAATATCCTTTAATGAAGACTTACATGTAAAACCAAATAAACACTTGACAAACAAATAAATAATTTATAATGAATATATATGTTGCTATGTTGCTGCTGCTCGCCATTCTCGAAAAGAATGGATGATTTAACAATAGGTGAGTAAAACTGTTCTAACAAATGTGAAAAAAAAGTTGAAATAACTGAAATGTTTCTTTCTCTGATATGTTTTTTTTCCTCAAAAATAACGCAAACATGTTGGATGCATTTTATTTTTTAATGAAACACACAGCAAAAGTCCAAACCATCCCAGAGTTACTACAAGGACCAACTTGCTGTGTCACCCTAAAATTTTCACTATTTGGCCAGAAATTTTCTGTTAATGGTGATGCTCCTCAGACTTTTCGTGTCAACGTCACATTCTTCTTTGTGCTCAGTCCAAG